AGTTAGTCTCTTCATTGGCAAATTGACAAATAGGAAAAAAGTGACAAAGATCACAGCACGGCCAGACAACACAAGCAGGTTCCGAGTCATTGCCACGGCAGGGAAGAATAATCCATCTGTGCTGTACAAACCATAACTGGAATCAGAACCCCAGGCCTGGCACGGTGGCTCCAGCCTGTAACCCCAGAGTTTTGGGAGGCTGAGGCAGGAGGATCACTGGAGCACAGGAATTCAAGACCAGGCTGGGAAACACAGTGAGATCCCCATCTCTGTAAAATAGTAATAATAATAATATCTTTTAAAACTGGGGGTGAGAAAGAAAAAAAACTGGGGTGGTGGTGAACATCTATAGTCCCAACTACTTGGAAGGCTGAGGCAGGAAGATCTCTGAGCCCAGGAGGTAGATGATGCAGTGAGTCATGATCCCGCCACTGTACTGTAGCCTGGGTGACAGTGAGACCCTGTCTCAAAAAAACAAAAAATAAAAAAACTGGCAAGGAAGGAGAAACGTAAGTTTGAAGTGGGCAAAAACGAGAGGAATGAACATAAAGTGCAGTTGTTCCTTGGGGCCAGGTATGGTGGCTCACAACTGTAATCCCAGCACTTTGGGAGGTAGGCGGATCACCTGAGGTCAGGTGTTCGAAACCAGCCTGTCCAACATAGTGAAACCCTGTCTCTGCTAAAAATACAAAAAATAGCCTGTGGTGGTGTGCACCTGTCCTGGAATCCCAGCTACTCCTGAGGCTGAGGCAGGAGAATCGCTTTAACCCAAGAGGTGGAGGTTGCAGTGAGCCAAGATCATGCCACTGCACTCCAGCCTGGGTGACAGAGACTCCATTTCAAAAAAAAAAAAAAAATTTTTTTTTCCTTGGATTTCATTCCAGGAACCAAAAAAGAGGTGTGTCTGGGCTTAAGCAGCCCTTAAGGGGTACAAAAGCAGGTGAGCCCACCAGGGCACTTCGGTGGGCCCTCCATAACCCTCAGGCCATCATTTCCAAATACTCCCATGCCAGGGAACAAAAACATATCCTGTGCTCCAGGCACAGGATGCCAGGAGCGTGGTGAATCTGGCTTGGGCGACTGTGTTTTAGAAATGTTATCTGGATGGTGCCATGGTGGGACTCAGTTGTCGAAAAGGCACACAGAGAATCACCATCACGTGAGAGATTGTTAGAAATGCAAATGCTGGCCGGGTGCGGCGGCTCACACCTGTAATCCCAGCACTTTGGGAGGGTGAGGCGGATGGATCACGAGGTCAAGAGATCGAGGCCATCCTGGTCAACATGGTGAAACCCCGTCTCTACTAAAAATACAAAAAGTAGCTGGGCATGGTGGCGCATGCCTGTAATCCCAGCTACTCAGGAGGCTGAGGCAGGAGAATTGCCTGAACCCAGGAGGTGGAGGTTGTGGTGAGCCGAGGTGGCGCCATTGCACTCCAGCCTGGGTAACAAGACTGAAACTCCGTCTCAAAAAAAAAAAAAAAAAAAAAGAAAGAAAGAAAGAAAGATGATCATGTCCCAGCTCTGACCTAACTAGGATGGCGGGTGGCCGGCTATCACCAGGACTCAAGGTGTTTGTGGGACTCTTCTTTTCTTCTTCTTCTTTTTTTTTTTTTTTTTGAGACAGAGTTTCACTCTGTTGCCCATGATCAAGTACAGTGGCATAATCTGGCAATCTCTGCCTCCCAGGTTCAAGCTATTTTTCTGCCTCAGCCTCTGGAGCAGCTGGGATTACAGGCACGCACTACCACGCCCAGCTACTTTTTGCATTTTTAGTAGAGATGGGGTTTCACCATGTTGGCAAGGCTAGTTTCAAACTCCTGACCTCAAGTGATCCACCTGCCTCGGCCTCTCAAAGTACTGACATTACAGGTGTGAGCTACCATACCCCGCCTCTTTATTTTTCTTTTTTTTCTTCCCCCCCTTTCTTCCCTCCCTCCCTCCTTCCCTTCTTCCCTCCTTCCTTCCTTCCTTCTCTTTCTCTCTTTGGAGATGGAGTCTCACTTTTTTGGCCCAAGATGGAGTGCAGTGGTGGGGTCTCAGCTTACTGCAACTTCCGCCTCCTGGGTTGAAGTTATTCTCCTGCCTGAACCTCCTGAGTAGCTGGGATTAAGGTGTGTGCCACCACACCTAGCTAATTTTGTATTTTTAGTAGAGACAGGGTTTCACCATGTTGGCCAGGCTGATCATGAACCCCTAACCTCAAGTAATCTGCCCACCTCAGTCTTCCAAAGTGGCAGGATTCTATGCATGAGCCACCATGCGTAGCCTCTCTTTTTCTTTCTTCCTTTCCTCCTTTCTTTCTTGCTTCCTTTCTCTGACTGCACATGCTCACCTGTCCTTCCTTCCCTTCCTTCCTTCCCTACCTCCCTCCCTCTGTTCTATTTCTTTCTTTCCCTCCCTCCCACCCTTCCTTCTCTCTTTTCGCTTTCCTTCCTTAATTTCTCTCTCTCTCTCCTTCTTTCTTTTGTCTCTCTTTCTTCTCCCCCTCCCCTCCCTCCCCCCCTCCTCTCCCCCCCCCCTCCCCTTTTTCCTTCCTTGCAGGGGTCTTACTCTATTGCCCAGGCTGGTCTCAACCTCCTGGGCTCTAGCAGTCCTCTTGCCTTGGCCTCCCAAAGCACTGAGATTACATGCATGAGCCACCATGTCCAGCCTTGTGTGAAATTATTTATTTACTTATTTGTGAAATGGAGTCCCATCTGTTACCCTCTCTGTTGCCCTGGCCTCTTCCCACTCAGTTCGGTCCCTCCTCCACACTGGTCAGTCTCAGCAACAAGACCCAATTCCCGTCCTTCCTTCGGACCGTGCCCAGCGACCTCACAACTGTCCACACAGTGGCACAGCTGGTGCTTCACTTCCGATGGTCTTGGGTGGGCGTCTTGGCACAGGAGGATGACTTTGGGCTTCAGGTCAGCTCTCTGGTGGTCCAGGAGCTAGGCCAGGCTGGGGTCTGCATGGAGTTCCAGGTCCACATCCCCACCCATGAGTCCCCAAAGATGAAAAACATCATCCACCAGATGGAGAGCTGTACCGTCACCATCATCCTGGTGTTAGTCAACAGCGCACTTCCAACTCATCCTGCAGGGTCTGGCAGGCGGAGACATTCTGAGCCAGGTCTGGGTCAGCCAGGACACTCTGCACATGGCACTAGCCCTGACCACGCTGGGTGCCTCCCAGGTCCTGCAGGGCTCGTTCAGCCTCCTGTTTCACTATAGCCAGCTCTCCGACTTCCCTGAGTTCCTCTCTCACCTGCACCCTGCCAGGACCCCGGAAGCCATGTTCATACAGAGGTTCTGGGACGTCACCTTCAAGTGCACATGGCCCCACGGAAGTTCGGGGCCAACAGGGAACAGCACAACCACCACAGGAGTCCACTTCTGCTCAGGAAATGAGTGTCAGAGGGCTGAGCACTACCCTTTCCAGAAGGAGAGTAAAGTAAACATTGTCTACACAGTGGTCTGCACCCCACCTGAAGGCCCTGGCAGCCTGTGAGCATGGGGATGAGGGGTGTGCAGATCCCCAGGACTTCCAGTCGTGGCAGGTGAGAGGCAAACATTTTGAGTGTGGCTAAACATGGTGGCTCATGCCTATAGTCCCAGTACTTTGGGAGACCAAGGTGGGAGGATCAATTGAGCACAGGAATTCAAGATCAGCCAGGGCAACACAGTAAGACCCCAAATCCACAATTTTTTTTTTTTTTTAAATGGAGTCTTGCTCTGTCACCCAGGCTGGAGTGCAACGGTGCAATCTCAGCTAATTGCAAGATCCACCACCTGGCTTCAAGTGATTCTCCTTCCTCAGCCTCTTGAGTAGCTGGGATTACAGGAATGTGCCACCATGCCTCGTTAATTTTTGTATTTTTAGTAGAGATGTGGTTTCACCATGTTGGCCAGGCTGGTTTTGAACTCCTGACTGAGGTGGTAGCCATGATCCACCCACCTCGGCCTCCCAAAGTGTTGGGATTACAGGTGTGAGCCACTGTACCCCGCCAAGAAAAATTTTTTAAATTAGCCCATCCTGATGGTGCATTCCTGTAGTCTCATCTACTTGGGAGGCTCAGGTGTGAGGATTGCTTGAGTCTAGGAGGTCGAGGCTACAGCAAGCCATGATGGTGCCAATGCACTCCAGCCTGGGCAACAGGGCAAGACCTTGTATCAAAAACAAAAAGTGTGGAGTGGATGATTCAGGGAAGGGCAGACAGCAGGAAACTCACTTGGTCTAAGCTATGGGGGAAGGATAGAAGTAGCACTACTCAGTGAGGATATCTTGTGTTCACAGCCCTGAGACACATCTTAGAGGAATCTCTCTCTCTCTCTCTCTTTTTTTTTTTTTGAGAAGGAGTCCCCCTCTGTCACTCAGCCTCGAGTGCAGTGGTGCAATCTTGGTTCACTGCAACCTCCACCTCCTGGTTCAAGTAATCATCTGCCTCAGCCTCCCGAGTAACTGGGATTACAGCTGCCCACCACCATGCTCGCATAATTTTTGTATTTTTTTTTTTTTTTTTTTCTGAGACGGAGTTTCGCTCTTGTTACCCAGGCTGGAGTGCAATGGCGCGATCTCTGCTCATCACAACCTCCGCCTCCTGGGTTCAGGCAATTCTTCTGCCTCAGCCTCCTGAGTAGCTCGGATTACAGGCACACGCCACCATGCCCAGCTAATTTTTTGTATTTTTAGTAGAGACGGGGTTTCACCATGTTGACCAGGATGGTCTTGATCTCTTGACCTCGTGATCCACCGGCCTCGGCCTCCCAAAGTGCTGGGATTACAGGCGTGAGCCACCGCGCCCGGCGACAGCAGCCAGTTTCTCACAATCTTGCGAACGCCGAACGAAGGATTCCCCAAGAGCGCTGAGAACTCGCCAAGCTCTTCCCGCGAAACCGGGGACCGCGAGTCAGAGCTGTCCTTTCACCCCGCCCAAGTGGCGCGGGGTGGGGCGGGGCGGGGCGGCCCAGGAGGCTGCCCTGGCGGAGCCGCTCCCTGGTGCCGGAAGTGCCGCCCGGAACTACAGCTCCCAGCAGCCCCCGCGGTGCGCCCCGGTCGACGCCGGGGAAGCCGCCGCCATTGTCCGCGGCTGAGGTGAGGCCTTCGCTCTGGCTGTGGGGCCGCCGTAGCTGCCGGGCTCGGGGGTTGGGAGAGCCGGCGGGGAGAGGCGGCGCCAGGGCGGGTCCCGCGCCTGCACTGTCCGCACCGGCTTTGCGCCCTGGGTGCCCTCGGGCCTCCCACCCGCCTCTGCCTCTGGCCTCCCGCTTCCCGCCTGCGGGCGCGCTTCCTCGTCCGGCCGTACGGGCCTGGGTGAACCCTGCACGTCGGCTCCGCGCGCCTTTGTCCCCGAGGCCGCGCCCGGACCTCCCAGGCGCGCTGCCGGGCCGGACCTCGGCGCGGGACGGAAGCCGAGCGCCCCAGGCGAGGCGACCCCGAGCCTGCTGCGCCGCCGTCACGGGGGAGCCGCGGCTGCGAGTCAGGTGAGGCCGGGACGAGCTTCTGCAGCGTCGCGGCCGCGTCGGTCTCGCGAGGACATTTGGGTCGGGAGCTCTGGAAGCAGGTGGTACGGATGCTTCTGAGGCCGTGGAGGGGACGAATAACCCCGTTCCTTCCCCAGCCCGGCCGCCCCCCGCCGCCGGTTCACACAGAGCACTGCGACGGACGTCAGACCCGGCTTGGAAACGGCTCTGGATTCGCTTCAACGTGCGGTGACGGCGGCGGCCACCGTCGAGTTGCAAATCACCGTGCGAAATGCGGTTTGCATTCTGCGTTTTCGCGCTGATTCCGGTGCTCCTGAGGCTCACTGGGCGTTCTAGTGCTTTATACACGAACCCAGCGATCCACTAAAGAGGTTGCTGACTTGTACAGGGATCGGGAACCTGGGGGTTTAGGGGTCTGGGCGCGAGTCCCATCTCTCAGTCCTCCACACACGCCCTTAGGCTTAGGAAATCTCGGACGTGTATTTTGTTTCGGAAGTGGAATTAAATTGACGTAGAATAATGTTCACCACTTTAACCACTTAAAAGTGTGAAGTTCATTAATGTTCACCACTTTAACCACTTAAAAGTGTGAAATTCATTGCTTTTACTGTGTATTAATAAAGTTGTGCAATCGTCACCACTATCTAATGCTAGAACATTTCATCACCCCTCAAAGAAACTTGTTCCCATTAAGCAGTCACTCCGCATTTTATTTTCCCCCCAGCTCCCGGCAACCACTAATGTATGAGGATTGCAAGTAGATTTTACAATAATTGTTGTCAAATTAACCCGAAAGTTCCATCTGTGTTGTGACTGGCTGTCTCTTGGGAATGGCTAACAAATTTATACCTTCTCATCGCAATCATGCTTTTTTTTTCTAGTTTATGAAAATTACCCTTCATATTTCTCCAGGAATTGTGTGGTTTTTTTTTTGATATGTAAATTTTCTTAAATTCTCCTTGCAAGTTTTTTGTTGCTTCTATGGATCGATTCCCTTCTTTGTTCACACTGGGTCTTCTGTGAGAATGGACCATTTTTGTCTTTTTTTCACTTTTGTCATTAGGTGGGGAATTGCACTGTTCCTGGCAGGTGTCTGGTCAGTCAGTCCTCAGGATGGCAGCCATCAACCCGTGGGCCTCCTGGGGTGAGTCCAAATCATATTACTTCTGGGCGTCCCCTAACATTAGCTACTGCAGTCATGGGTCAGAGCTGGGGAGGGGCTCAGGACTTTTGAGGATGGAAGTGGGGTCTGTCTGTCTTGGTACAAAATTAGAAGTGATTGGTGGTAAAGGAGGAAAATTGTTGCCATAAAAGACAGTAACTTTTATGTGTTTTATAGTCTCTCCTGAGAGTTGTCATTGGTTTTAAGAGATTTTCTGGAGGCCGGGCGCGGTGGCTCAAGCCTGTAATCCCAGCACTTTGGGAGGCCGAGGCTGGTGGATCACGAGGTCAAGAGATCGAGACCATCCTTGTCAACATGGTGAAACCCCGTCTCTACTAAAAATACAAAAAATTAGCTGGGCATGGTGGCGTGTGCCTGTAATCCCAGCTACTCAGGAGGCTGAGGCAGGAGAATTGCCTGAACCCAGGAGGCGAAGGTTGCGGTGAGCCGAGATCACGCCATTGCACTCCAGCCTGGGTAACGAGCGAAACTCCGTCTCAAAAAAAAAAAAAAAAAAAAGCCGGGTGCGGTGGCTCAAGCCTGTAATCCCAGCACTTTGGGAGGCCGAGGCGGGTGGATCACGAGGTTGGGAGATCGAGACCATCCTGGTCAACATGGTGAAACCCCGTCTCTACTAAAAATACAAAAAAAAAAAAAAAAAAAATTAGCTGGGCATGGTGGCTCGTGCCTGTAATCCCAGCTACTCAGGAGGCTGAGTCAGGAGAATGGCCTGAACCCAGGAGGCGGAGGTTGCGGTGAGCCGAGATCGCGCCATTGCACTCCAGCCTGGGCAACAAGAGCGAAACTCCGACTCAAAAAAAAAAAAAAAAAGATTTTCTGGTGGTTTGTGGGGTTTTCTAAAAGACAGTGATACATATGATAAAATATTGTCTCTACTGCTCCCCTATATATTTTTACTTTTATTATTTTTTTGCTTATATAGCATTGGTAACTTCAGAACAGTGTTAAGTAATAGTGACTCACATGTGCATTTCCTGTGTGAATCCGGCTTATGTTGGATTTTTTTACGTGCCTTTGGGCTCTGTTTATGGAATTTTATAGTGCCCATTAGCGAATCGGTTTCCTCTTGCATTTTGTTGCCTTTAATCACTGGGTTTGGTGTCACAGACCTAACCTGATTCTTCTGTGCAGGTGCCCTTACGGACCAGTCTTGGGGGATGACAGCTGTTGACCCATGGGCTTCCTGGGGTGAGTCAAGAGCCTGGTCAGCTGTGGACTGCCATGTTGTGGCCTCTCCCTGTAGTGCTCTGCCACAGCTGGGGATTAGAAAGGGGACCAGGTGGGGCTTTAGGGCACATGATCCAGATCTGTCTCTGTGAAGAGTTAGAACAAGGAGGGGTCAGAAACCTCTAGTGAACAATAAGAGGATGGTGACATCTCAAGATGCATGAGAATTCATGTGTTGCCGTTTAGGGTTCAGGCCCAGGAAGACTGGTCACACCAGAGACTGCTTCTCAGAGGTGGTACTTAATAGCACAGGGTGGGCAATGAGAGAGTTATGTGTTCAGGTACTTTCTAACCTTCTCTGAGCCCTAATTCCTTCATCTATAAAACGAGGAAGTGGGCCAGGTGCGGTGGCTCAAGCCTGTAATCCCAGCACTTTGGGAGGCCGAGGCTGGTGGATCACGAGGTCAAGAGATCGAGACCATCCTGGTCAACATGGTGAAACCCCGTCTCTACTAAAAATACAAACAATTAGCTGGGCATGGTGGCGCGTGCCTGTAATCCCAGCTACTCAGGAGGCTGAGGCAGGAGAATTGCCTGAACCCGGGAGGTGGAGGTTGCGGTGAGCCGAGATTGCGCCATTGCACTCCAGCCTGGGTAACGAGTGAAACTCCATCTCAAAAAAAAAAAAAAAAAATCAAAAACGAGGAAGTGGGTTTCTTCCCTCATTCAAGGGGGAGGGGCAGGGGCTGGTCCTTATTCCCTGCTGGGAAGAAAGGGTGAGCTCCTGGCAGCAAGAGCTGCCTCCATGACTTTTTTTTTTCCTTCCCTAGCTCTGTGTCCTCAGGAGCCTGCCTGGCACATGGAGGGGAGCCCCGAGGAGGGGAGGAGGGCCGCTGGGCTCCCAGCAGCCCAGGTTCAGGTGAGATGGGGCCTCCACTTATTCTTGAAGGACTGTCCTTTTCTCAAAGGATGATGTTCATATTATCCCTGGTCATCCCAGTTGTTGCGGCTTGCCAGTTTACAACAGTTAAGAGTTTGGGTAGGGAAGGAAGCAGCTGGAAGTTAATGCTTCCTGAGAGCAGGTAGGGAGAATCAGGCAGTTTTGAGTGACTTAGAGCCTTGCTGTCTACCGGCCTGTTCACAATGCTGAGCCCCGACTGTCCCTGGCTTATTGTGGAGGATGAGGGGCAGTCCTTTTGGCTGGCAGCCCCACTTCTCTTCCCTCTTCCCACCTTTACTCATATCTTTAGCACCTGATTTAGGCTGATGCCATGCAGTGAGCTCCATCCTTGCTGTGAGGGGAACAAGGACAGGTATGAGCCTTCACCCTGAGGAGCTCCCAGACCCTTTTCCAGGGTTATTCACTCAGTTAAGGACATCTCACAGCCTACCTGGGGCCACACATGCAGTGCGGGATGTGAGGAACCTGAGATGGGTAGAGTAGGCCTGGAGAAGCTCAGTTTACCTGATAAGTTGGGAGATGGGACAGAGTCTCTGTGGAGGTCAGCTTTCGCTGTGGAGGGGAAGGCTGCTTGGGAGACCTGGACCAAGAGGTGAATAGAATGCATCAGCCAGTTGGGGACAGCCTGGTGAGGGGGAGTCTGGCCTCCTACAGAACCACAGGGTTGAGGGGTGGCAGACAGCACACTGTGTGACCAGTGTTTGAGTGAGACTGACTTCAGTTAGATTTTAGGCTGGAAAGGCCAGGATGAACCCAGCCAGGCCCTGAATGCCTGCATGCCTGCTGCACAGCTTCAGAAGCCTTGGGATCAGGTGGCACCAGGGTCCCAAATGTGGCTGGCAGGATTCCCCTAATGGGTGTGGAAAGAAGAGGGCTGTGGGAAGCAGGCTTGTGTTTCAGGCTTCAGTCTGACCAGGGCCTGGGAGCTAGGAAGGAGAGGAGGATCAGAGAGATAAAGAAATCAAAGCAGGTGACTTTGTGATTATGGGGATAGGTTGGCTCCTGAGAGAAATAGGACAATGGAGTCAATTTGGAAAGGTGTCATCTTCCTGCATTCCTCCTGCCCAGTCTCCTCACCAGATGGAGCCATTTAAAAAAATATTTATAATAGCTTTATTGAGACAGTATTGGCATACTATAAAGTTTATCCTTTTAAAGTGTATTGTTCAGTGGTTTTTAGATTCACAGAATTGTGCAACAATACCAGTATCTAAATCTAGAACATTTTCATCATCCTAAAAGGAAATCCTATTAGTAGTTACTTTCCGTTCCCCCTGCCAACCACTAATGTACTTTCTGTCTATGGATTTGCCTGGTCTGTACACTTCATATAAATGGAATCTTAATATGGCACACCCTTTGTGTCTGGCTTTTTTCACTTAGCATAATATTTTTGTTTTTAAGAGTTATCCATATTGTAGCATTTCATCAGTATTTCTTTTAATGACTAAGGCAGCCATTTTTAACTTCCTCTTCAGTTTTTTAGAGTTCTGTCTGTATTTCTAAATGGGAGAGTTTTTTAAACTGGTTTTTCCTAGTTCATCAAAGTTACATTTACTCTGTTAGCTCCCTGCTATGAAAGATGAAGAAAAAGTGTTTCATTACCTTTTTTTAGGTCTTTTATTTGTAAATCAAAATAATCAATGCTGGGTGCGGTGGCTCACACCTGTAATCCCAATACTTTGGGAGGCCAAGGCGGGAGGATCACCTGAGGTTGGAAGTTCAAGACCAGCCTGACAAACATCGAGAAACCCTGTCTGTATTAAAAAAAAAAAAAGAAGCAGATACTTGGATATAAAACAAGATTTAAAAATAATGTCTCGACTTTATGCCTCTCCCCCAAATTAAAATATATTAATAAAGCTGCCCACAGTTTCAAATCAGGTGAGTGAAGTGCATCATAAGTATGCTGTCCCCACTTGGCAGCGTTGCTATCCCTGGTCTAGGTGAGTTGGGAAGCAGAAGGGCCTGAATCATATGATATAAGGTGATTGTTGCCTGGCATCACAACTTGGGCAACTATGAGGTTTGGTGCTGTTACAATGTACAGTCATTATTAAATCCTAAAACAGAATCATCAGCAGTGAAGCTAGGCTATCCTGAAAGATGGCCCCTGAATCAGACTCAGGAGTAGAAGTTAGCTTGAATAAAACACTGCGAAAACAAGCCCTGTTAACCACCATGCTACATTCTGCTGTTAATTTATGCTAGGGTTTCTGAGAATTATCAAATTTAATGCGGAGAAAATAAAACAGAATTAAAAATAACACCCTCCAATGTCTGAAGAGTTGTGATTTCTGACAACATGCTCCTGGCTGGCCCTCCACCCCACACTCACTTTGGATTTTTCCCTTTGGGAAAGTTGGACTTGACTGTTGTGTGTTTTTAACTAAATGAGATTAACCCTGTGTCCCTTTATTGTTCCCTCAAAGTTAAATATTTATTGAAATAAAGCATTTATCTGGCGAAAACATCAAATGCTGTCATCCCTCATTATCTGAATAGTCCATTCATGAAAGTATGTTGAATAGTGAGGTTTTAGCTACAGAAGCCCTGATCCCTTTATTTCTAGGAATAGGGGAAAATAATAATTGTAGTGATAATATTCCATTCCATCCTAAAACCCCAACCAGCCTCTCCAAATATGGAAGCATTCAAATCCCTCTGTAACATTCCACCAAGGATATCTGCTTAACAAACATTATGCACATAAAACACCAGTAATAATCCTGCACCCATCTTCGGTCATACTTGAGGATGTGCATAGTCGAGTTATGTTTTCCTTCTCTACCATGAAATTCTGCCATAGAAGCCATCTGAATTGCCCCAGGTTCCTTGAAGGGGGGGCAATTGGGCAAGATCTGTCAGCAAAGATCTGAGACCTAGTAGGCCCCTTGGTCTTCTCTCTTTTAGACACTCACAGGATTTAAGTATGTGGCTGGTTTGTTAGCAGATTCCATAAAGTGCTTTAGAATGCCTAGATAAATGCTTATGCGTGTATGCAAAGTGGTATGTGCAAAAATGTTTATGAGAATTTGGGTGAAACACTTTTGTAAGTCATCCTAGGGTATGATTGGAAAATGCAAATTTAGCTCGTAATGGTGACCTGTGGACCAGAAGGATTTGCTCCTCCCTCTAGCAGGACTCCTCTCTCTAACACCTTTAACCCTCAGCGTCAGGAAACAGTGAAACCTGTATTTCTTCTCCTATCCTTGAAGGGTCCCTCTCATCTCCACAGCTCATGAGACTAGGTGCCTGTCTTCTACAGTCTCTTCCTTACGGCCTTTTGGTTTTGCGTTTTCCTTTGCAATTCTAGGCTGAAGGTGTTTACTGTGTCCCCTTACCATCCATTTATTTAATTATTTTTATTTTTGAGGCAGAGTCTCACTGTGTTGCCCATACTGAAGTGCAGCGGGGCAATCTCAGGTCGATGCAGCGTCCCCATCTTACGTTTAAGGGATTCTCATGCCTCAACCTCCTGAATACATGGGATTACAGGCGTGTGCCACCACACCTGGCTAATTTTTGTATTTTTATTTTTATTTTTATTTTTATTTTTTTAAGATGGGGTTTCACCATGTTGGTTGGTCAGGCTGGTATTGAACTCCCAACCTCAGGTGATCTGCCCTCCTTAGCCTCCAAAGTGCTTGGATTACAGGCGTGAGGCACCACACCCAGCAATTTTTGTGTTTTTAGTAGAGACGGGATTTCACCATGTTGGCCAGGCTGGTCTCAAACTTCTGACCTCAGGTGATTTGCCTGCCTTACCCTCAAAATGCTGGGATTACAGGTGTGAGCCACCACTCCCGACCCACTTACCATCCTTGAGGTGAGGTCTCCATGATTTGTGGGCCCAGACATGGTTACATATTCAGCTGGGGTTAGCTCTTTTCTTATAACTGCTTTTTAGCCCATGGGGCTTTCAGTTTGAAAATGGCCCCTTTTTCAATTCTAAATGTTTTTTAAAATTTACTTTTAATTTTGACAAATTTCATAATTACAGAAAAGTATAAAAAGGAAGCAGATAGCATCCCCATCACTGGACAGTTACTAATGTTCTTCATATTTGTTATCTTTTCTTCTTTAACGTAGTACTCATTCTCTTCCCACCTTTTCTTAGGCAACTATTCATGGATTAAGTTTGTACACAGCTAACATTTTCATATGCATACATAGATGATAAACTATGTAGACATGGACAGTCTTTTTCTTTTTCTTTTTCCTTTTTTTTTTTGAGACACAGTCTCACTGAATTGCCCATACTGGAGTATAGTGGCGTGATCTGTGCCCATGGCAACCTCTGCCTCCCAGGTTCAAAGGATTCTTGTGTTTCAGCCTCCCAAGTAGCTGGGATTGCAGGTGTGTGCCACCACACCTGGCTAATTTTTGTATTTTTAGTAGAAGTGGCATTTTGTCATATTGGCCAGGCTGGTCTCAAACTCCTGGCCTTAGTGATCTACCTGCCTCTGCCTCCCAAAGTGCTGGGATCATAGGTGTGAGCCACTGTACCCCACCCAACAATCTGTTTTTTATTTTTTCAATAATTTTTTCCTATATGTAGTTTTTCTATAGTTTTCATTTTTCAACTTTGAGGTCCATCCATGTGGGTAGATATAGAGAAGTCAGGCTTGTTTCTTTGGCGCTGCCAAGTGTATTTATTAGGGAAATGCATGTCTGCCTTCATCGTTTCTTTTACAGATAAGTTTATAAGTTCCTCATTCCCCCATTGTTTTTGCTGCTCCGGCCAGAGCTGTGTGAACATTCCTGTAGCTTCATTTTGTGTACATGTTTATGTAGTTTTTACCTAGGCATACCCCTAGAAGCAGAGTTTTACTTGGTTTTAGGTATGTACTTTCTTTTTTTTTTTTTTTTTTTTGAGACCATCTCGCTCTGTAGCCAGGCTGGAGTGTAGTGGTGCGATCTCGGCTCACTGCAACCTCTGCCTCCTGGGTTCAAGC